TGTTTAATCACATTAGATGATCTTTGCACTAATTCAACCAGAGCAGTGCAGGCCATCAATAAATTACTTTTAAAATTTGCAATAAAAGTTCACACACATCAGCCTTTTTAGGAATTAAATTTTTCTATATTTAAACAGGTAAGTTGATAATTCACAAAGTGAATCTTTTTCTGTTACAGCAGTCTATTATAAATCAATCTACTGGTTTCTCTTGTGGGTTTTTTTTTTATGAGAACTTGATATACTGAGGAGTTTCTGAAGCTCTCCTCCACTTCTGATACACATTTTAAGCTGTTTGTTAAAAGAAGTAACTAAGAAGTATTTCTGTTGAACCGCATGTTGAGACGATTCCTGAAAAACAGAAAATCTCAACCCACAATTACAGCTGAGCCCTTTTTTTGGTACCTCTTTATCTACACAAACATTTAGAGAGGGAAAACCAGTAACTAATCTTTGTTTATTGATATTCTAACATTTCTTCAAAAATATATTTATTTCATTCATATAAATATACTTTCTTGCAGGCCATGTTTAACTTTTTTTTTTTACTTTAAATTCTTTTGAGATTTTCAGTTTATTTGTTGGTTTATTTCATGCTCTATAGACCAACAGCAGAATCATGTCCCATTACATGAAACACTATAATTCTCTCTCACAACTAACAGGTAACAAAGTAGATTCAGTAATTTGCAATAGAAAGACAAAAGGGTTTTTCTCTTTTTACCCAAAAAATATTTATGAAACATGAGATTCTGATACAGAACAAAAACCTTAAAATTATAGATTTAATTCATTATCATTAAATAAAGAAAATGTAACCTTTCTCTACATTTTGTTTCATTTTTCATTTATTAATTTAGCCAATAATCTGAGAGCCCTTTGTAGAACAGTGGATTAGTTTAGACACCAAGGGGTTTTTGTACAGCTCTGCTGCTCGTTGTGTCACTGTGGTTGGCGTTGTATCTTGCACAGTAATACACAGCAGAGTCTTCAGGCTGCATATTCTCTCCATTCAGAGTCACTGTACTACTGGAAGCATCTATATCAATACTGAACTTATTCTTCAGTGAATCTTTGTAGAATGTGAACCAATTTGATTTCATCCCAATCCACTCCACTCCTTTGCCTGCAGGATGTCTGATCCAAGCTCCATAGTAGTCGTCGAAAGAATAAGAGACCTGACATCTGATGGTCAGACGTTGACCTGGCTGCAGTGCCTCAGAGGCTGGCTGAGTCAGAGTTTCAATGCTCACTTCTAAAGAACAAACAATAGAACATAAAAGCTGAATTGTTAACAACAGTAAAGAACATTACCATGCTATATACAAACTCACAGCATCCAGCAACCATCAGCAGCAGAGCAACAGAGAACATGATGATCATGTGATCTGATGGGAGTTTTTCTCCATCTGCAGCTGAAAGCATCAGATCAAGTCTCTAAAACCTGACTCTTCTGATTTGCATAATAACAATAATCCCATTAAGAAAGCAGAAAAAGGCTTTTCTCTATCAACAACAATTAAGGAATATTTTTGCATTTACAGTATTGTACACTCTTAAAAATGATGTATGGAAATGCAATGGAAGAATTTTTATATTATTATGTAATATTTAGTTTTTTTTTATCTGAAACATTTTTGATTCAATAACTTATTTTTGATAGCTACACATGCTTTTCTAAGATATGTGTTTCTCTGTTTAAAGAAGAGGTAAACCTACTGAGACACATTCAGACATGGAGAGTTTACCAACCCTCTAATGCAGCTAAATGTTTAGGAGAAAGGTTCTTAGTGTTTCCCATACCATAAACCTTTAGTTGAATGAAGGTCTCTTTGTTTCCATTGATGGTGCTGGTGTAACACTGATATCTCCCTTCGTCCTGTACCATCACATTACTCAGCTGCAGAGAAGCGTTTCCAGTAGAGATCAATTGATTGGACAGTGAGGTTCTGCCTTTAAACTCGTCACTCTGCTGTCCCATTTGATCCTGGTTGTGGTAGTAGGAGTGTACTTGGGATTTTATAGGTAAATGTCTAATCCAGTGAATGACAACCTGATCACCTGGAGGAAAGCTGCATGGCAGGATGCAAGTCCTGCTGAACTGGCAGCTGACCTCTAAATCTGGGAAACAGAAGAAGAAGAACATACAAACATAAGAGTTTGATCAGTAAAACACGCCAAGCAGATGGAAAAAAGTTTAGATTTGCAGATAATCACCAACATCAAGCAGTGAGATCAATATATCACTCTGCAGCTGTTCACTGATATTATTTCTAGAACGTGTCTGAGAGGCTTTGATGCTTTTACAGTAGAAGGGTCGTAAAAATGAGGGTTGTCTAATGTTGATGAAATGTCTTTGCAATATTTTCACCAGACTAAAAAGATTTTTTTTTTCTAAGTTTTGGAGCTGCTTTGTACTTAAAAGCAGTTCTAAGATTTTTTTTTTCTTTTCTATAATTTATATAAATCTGTTTATGCTCTAAATGTGTCGCTTACCTCCTCTGGAGAGGGTCCAGAATAATGTAAAAAATCCCCAAAATATGACACACTTCAGCTCTGCCATTGTCTCGATTGACATCATCAGCCAACTGCTGAGCTGATGTTTGAAAAAAGGTGTGACAGTAATGTCATTTAAAGCATCTAACCAAACTGGTATTGCCAGGAAATGTAGAAGTTTTTTGAGGCAGAGGCAGAGAGAGAGGCAGTTCTTTCAGATTGTACATGATATTGCAGCCAAAGTATAATAGGTAATGAGCACGCAAACAGGAGCTGTCGTGATCTTGGCACTGATGATGGCCTAGATCTTTCGTGAGCTATATTTTCACCCTGTCAAGCTTGCATTTCTCACAGCGGTACTCTGAAAATTGACAAGGGTTGCAAGTGAAAAAGTGTCTACAAAGTTTAAGAGAAGAAGAGAAAGGCCTAAGAACAACGAAACAAGACCAGAGTGTTTTGGGGAGATTATTTTAAGAGATGGCGTACACTAAAAGCTCCAGCCTGGTGGCTCACCACTGATGCCTTAGTTGCAAAGTTTCTACTTGACAGGCAGTGATGGGACTAACAGTATTGAAAGTAATGGCGTTACTAACGCCGTTACCTTGTTTTAGTAACGAGTAATCTAACTAATTACTTTGACTGTTACTATAACGCAGTTACATCCATCCATCCATCCATGGATGGATGGATGGATGGATGGATGGATGGATGGGTGGATGGATACTCTGCCTTTTCAACCCACTGTATTTAAAATACGGATGGAGATCCGTATTTTATGCCACACACAGAATATACATATAGATTTCAGAATTAGACATCCCCAGTTATTAATTTCATATACTCACCAGATCTGAATGCCCTGTTAAAAAACTTCACATCGCGTTCCCCCCTGATGTCATTTACGTTGAGTTGCAATAAATGCAAAACTCTGCAGGTTCTTGTCTTTGCCGTCACTCTATTCAGCTGGCTTTTGAAACACACAGCGAGAAGGTGGGGGCCAGGTGGTGAGGGTTACGGGGGCGAGAAACGCAAAAGTAACGCAATAGTTGCTTTTACTAGTAACTAGTTACTTTTATTGTGGAGTAACTCAGTTAGAAACTCAGTTACTTTTTGGGAGAAGTAACTAGTAACTATAACTAATTACTTTTTTAAAGTAACGTGCTAAACACTGCTTGTTCCCTCCATTGTACTTCATACAGACAGCTCACCTGTGGCCTATTTATAGTGCTTTTTATGACTTTTAAAACTTAGAATAAAAGTTCACACACATCAGACTTTTTAGGAAGTTCATTTTTTTATATTTAAACTGGGAACATTAGGAACATTTGATGCTTCTTTGACTTTCATTTTCAGTTTTTTTGTTATTGTTGTTAAAAGTATTGAATTAATATATGTTTTTAAAGCAGTATTTTAGTACTGATTTATTGATTCTCTTCAGCCAGAATAAAATATAATTTTTGTTCAAACACTGTAATGATAAATGAGACATATTAATTATTTAATTAAAGATTAACAGTGAACATGTTGGTATTAAAAATAATCTAATGGGATTTTTTTTTTTCTCAAATCATCAATCTTATCAAATCAATAAAACCTAGATCTGCATGTTGACAAATTAGCCAATTACTGTTATGTTAATCACATTAGATCATCTTTGCACTTATTCAACCAGAGCAGAGCAGGCCATCAATAAATTATGACTTTTAAAATTTGCAATTAAAGTTCACACACATCAGACTTTTTAAGAATTAAATTTTTCTATATTTAAACAGGTAAAATTAGTAACATTTCAGTAACAACTCAATTATCATTGTTTTCATGGCACTATTCAACCAGTGGGTTATTGCTTTTCCCCAGATTGAAGAAATTTCCGTTTTTGTTTAGACAGAAACAAATAAAAGGCACATGTATCACAGATAAATAAAAAAGCTTTCAGAAAATCCATAGAATTTATAGAATATTCTCAGATTAAAAATGGTTCCACTCTTTGCTTTCCAGATCAATCTGTATTATTGTTTCTGGCATGGTGTTTCTCTTTTGGTGGTTTTCATAAAAAAATAAACATTTGACACCTTGTGAGAGATATTTTGCACAGCTTTGCTGCTTTTTTTTATTTCCAATGTATCATGTTAAATGCAGTAAATACAGTTAGTGATGTATTGAAATAGCAAAATCATATCTGTTCATCTACAATATTTATGTTTGTAACAGTCTGTGATTTCTTTTATAAATGTTGTAAAATTTATAGTATGTCTGTAAATATCTTGAAACTTAAGTTATCATTTTTAAATGGATTCTTTTCATCACTGTAAGTAAAAGATGTCAGCGCTCACAAACACATTCATTGAGTGTCTCATTGGTAGTTATAGTCTGCATTTTGTTTGATATTAATTATGTAACATAAATCTATTTTTTTAATTCTCAAAATTCTCAAATTTATCTCTAAAAACAAGCATTTATTTGATGGTTTGAGAAAATTTTTTGTTACTATTGGCTATTTTTGCAAAAATCTACACAGAAATAAGAAAACCTTTTACCAAACAGCAAAACATTGTAGTTCTCTTGCAAAAGCTAATAAACTTTAAATAACTGTTCTCTTGTTTTTTTTGTTTTTTTTTTCGTTTTTTCTCAAGTCAAAACAAAAACAACTAAGAAATAAATATATCAGTCTAGATCATGTCGTCTCTCTGGGTCCGGCCACAATATTTCATTCACATCACATGCAATGTCCTCTTGTCCAAAGCACAGGGGAAAATCTGTAGTGGAACATCGTATCCAGGCCTGACATGATGCCTGATCAATATCCCCACATGCTCCCTCCATAGCCTGTAAAAGGCCGATGCATTGATGGGGATGACGGTTCCTGCTCCAGGCAGAGAAGAACTCTTCAGTCGGATTCCAAAATGGAGAGTATGGAGGGAGGTTGAGTGCAGTGAAGAGTGGGTGATCTGTAAACCAGTTGCGGACCAAAGCATCCCAATGGACACTAATATTGTCCCATATGATGACGTATCTGTCCTCCTTTTCCTCTTTCTCCTACTTCTTTACCTCCTTGTCATCTTCCTCCTCCAATCTTTACTTTTCTTGCTCCCTCCATTGACCTCCACACAGACAGCTCACCTGTGGCCTATTTATAGTGCTTAGACTGATTGCAAACTTAAATATTTATCTAAAACAGTTTTAACATGTGAAGGTGTGCCAGACAGTTTGCAAAATAGTGTAAATAATACACTATTTGTATTTTTACTAGGATTGTGTTGGTCATTTGGAAATTGAGTTTTGGAAACTCAATTGTAAGAAGAGGAAAAGAAGAACAGAGTTTGTTCATCACACTGATACTGGAGACACAAACTACAAACGAAGACAGAAATGCACAGCAGAGCCTGTTAATTTGCATGATGATGGAGAAACACTTTACAGTATGTAAAGGAACTACATAATAATATTTTGATTTATTATTATTGTAACTGCTCAACATTTCAGTTTGTTGTTGATAACTTTCTTTCAAATTAAACAACCACAAAAAATGGTCTTAGAGCGCCTCCTCTGGTGATTATATATAACTACCATTCAGGCTCTGAGGGGTTTTTGTACAGCTCTGCTGCTTGTTTGTGTCACTGTGACTTTCTGGCACAATAATACACAGCAGAGTCTTCAGGCTGCATATTCTGTCCATTCAGAGTCACTGTGCTACTGGAAGTGTCTAAGTCAATACTGAACTTGTTCTTCAGTGAATCTTTGTAGAGTGAACCTCCAGTATATTTCATCCCAATCCACTCCAGTCCTTTCCCAGCAGCCTGTCTGATCCAAGCTGTGTAGTAGCCCAAAGAATAAGAGACCTGACATCTGATGGTCAGACGTTGACCTGGCTGCAGAATTAAAGATGCTGGCTGATTAAGAGTTTCACATGATACATCTGTAAAGAAAACATTTAGGATCAATACATAGACAGTCAGTTCAGGATTCAGGTTCATCATGCTGTAAATGTTTCTCCTTCAGTCAGACTCACAGGATCCAGCAGCCAGC